TATTCAGCCTCATGAGAGTGCAAGATCCACTAGGGCGAAGGTCACAAATAACTACTTAAAAGTTAGGTGCTTCGACTAAACTAGAAATAACCCCAAATAAAAATACCAAACGCGTTTAAATTTATGGTAATTATTTACGCGTATTCACAGTTTACCTTAAAGTTTAACTATCTTCATTGCCCAAAATGTTGCCTAAAATTTTGGGTTACTTACTAATAAAGGTCACACAGAACTGAAAACCTCCACCATGGAATTGGAAGGTCTCTTACAAACCCAAAATAAACATAAAAAACAAGAAGAAAAACCATGTCAGAGCTTTGTATCACAAAATATCTTATTATTTCCCATCTTACATCTCATCTGACCACAATTTGAAGATCTCCTGTCAAAAAACTCCAAACCCTTTTCTTATCTAGTGCTCCCTCTGATCACTCTGATTTCAGACCAACCTCTGCAATTTCCATATCTGTATGTGCTTTTACAGCTAAGTTTGCTCCTCAACAATGGCACATATCGAAAAACCGGAAGTATTTAACCCTAATTCAAGATACACAGAACCAGCAGGCCTCCATATTCTCTGAACAAACATTTAAACTATTTGCCTTCTGGTCCCAAGACACATTTGTGACTTGACCTTAGCCCCCCATACCCCTTTGGCATTTTTCTTAAATTTTTGTTCATATGAATGGTTGGTTTTGAAGGGTATAAGAATCTTGAGAATGGGGTTTCAGGTTTGGAACATAAACAGAAACTTGAGCTGGGGTTAAGTCTGATTCTTGCTCTCGTTCCTCTCGATATCGATTTGGTCAATTTTTTTATTGCCGGCTCGATTGGACAATGATATGATACAAAAGTTTTGTTGTGTGTTATAAAGTGGTTGCTTGGAAAAATGGTTAGGTCATGTTGGAGGCCATCTGCAGTGGATGATGGACCTCGACGTGGTGGGGAAACCAGCGGCCAGGTTGATGGTTTGTTGTGGTACAACGACTTTGGGCAGCATGCTTGGGGAAAATTCTCAATGGCTGCCGTTCAGGCCAATTCTGTTATCGAGGATCAAAGCCAGCTCGAATCCGGTCCTTTATGTGGAACAAAATCTGGTCTGGGAACTTTCGTTGGAGTTTATGATGGACATGGAGGGCCTGAAGCTTCAAGATATGTCAATGAAAATCTCTTCCGCAATCTAAAAAGTATGTTCAAAGTGTTCCTCTTTTTTAATTTCCCTCATGAGCCATCTTTTAGCCGTCTGCACTCCAAACTGAATATTTTAGTATTTTTTTTGCGCTTGTAGAGGCTAAAAGATGAACATTAAAATCACTAACCGGTTTCTAACACTAATTGGAAAAGCAGGGATTGCAGCTGAGCATCGATGCATGTCGGAAAACGTGATCAAGAAGGCGTACTTGGCAACGGAGGAGAGTTTTCTATCGGTGGTGAAGAAGCAGTGGCAAAGCAAGCCACAAATTGCATCTAACAGGAACATGTTGTTTGGTGGGGATAATATGCAATGGACTGCTTTACACAGCAAATGTTGGGGACTCTAGAGTGGTTCTAGGAAAACTAGAAAGGGAAACTAAAGAAGTCACGGCTATTCAATTATCTGCAGAGCACAATGCAAGCATAGAATCAGTGAGAGAGGAGCTGCGGTCGTTGCATCCGCACGATTCAAAGATTGTCGTTTTAAGGCACCAAGTTTGGCGCGTGAAGGGCCTCATTCAGGTACCCGTCTTTCCTTTTTTATCCAACAAAATTGTCGTCCATGAGATTTGAGCTCAAGTACTGAAAGTAAATCCTTACTTTGCAGGTTTCGAGATCAATTGGTGACGCGTACTTAAAGAACGCAGAGTTCAACAGAGAGCCTCTACCTCTAAAATATAGGCTACCTGAACCTTTTCTCAAGCCAATTCTAATCCCGGAACCAGAAGTATCAGTAATTAAACTCCGACCGGAAGATCAGTTTCTCATATTTGCTTCTGATGGTCTGTGGGAGCATCTTAGCAACCATGACGCCGTCGACATTGTCAACAATTACCCCCGCAAGGTCATATTCCACCATCTGTATAACACTTTTTCTGCACACTTTTTCTGAAAGTGATTTTCACACTCCTCTTTTCAAAGAACAATTAAAGGACCGAAACAATGAGAAAAGTGCAGAAGAAGAAACCGAGAGTAAAAATCGAAAGAAAACAAAAAAAGCAGAAAAAGGACTAGATTCCACTGTATCATCACTTGCAAGATGAGCTTAATGGTGAACATTTTCTACTTTGTTGTGCAGGGAATAGCAAGGAAGCTGATTGAAGCTGCACTACAAGCAGCAGCCAAGAAAAGGGAAGTGAGGTACACAGACTTGAGGATTATCGAGCCCGGAGTACGACGACATTTTCACGACGACATCACAGTGGTGGTGTTGTTTCTAAATCCAAGCCTGTTAAAAAATGGAAGCTCCCCCCGCAAGTCTCAGTTTTCATTAAAACCCAGCTTCTAGTTTCTAGATCGGCGTTTTGCTATAATGCTATCCTGTTTTGGGAAATGGCAACCAAGTGCTTTTACCAAAAATATTTCTGTAACTCGGTTCCTTCTTGTAAATTGCAATCTATAGTTTTAACATCGGATTACATATTTGAGCGTAGCTAAGTGAGGCAAGAGTAGTATATTCCCCACTTTGTACCGAAGCTCAAATTTGTGTTCCGTTGTTTAGATTAAGTTAGAATATCGCTAAAAAAAAAACTTTCTAATCTTCGCATCATACTTCCCCATCTCGGATTTTAAAACCCAATAACCAATTACATGGGGTTATACGTAATCATATTCATTGTTATGCTAAGGTAGATAACAAATTTAGAACCCCAGTATGCACTTCAGCCTTCAGATTTGACACACTATTTGTCGGATTCGAAAAAATACGTGTTTTAGTAACTTTGATTTGACACTTTGAATTGTCAGATTTCCAACGCGCACAAAGGAGATATTTTTTGTGATGGGTACAATGGATGGTACATCATATGTCATTATACAAATAGTGAGATATGTGCGCTAAAAGGTTAATAACTTAAAAAATAAAATTTCTCATCACTTCCATTAAAACATGTAGTCATAATGAAAAATTTCTCAACACAAAAAAACTCAAATGACATGACATTAAAAACATTCACATTTACACTCAAGATGGGTTCGTATTTCCAAATGAAAGTCTAGACAGACCAGATTCGAATTTTCAAATAAAAATCTAGACAGACGTAGGAACCGGAAAAAGTATTTTATTGAGAGCAATTTCATTAATAACAGGGGGCAACGTACAATATTTGGAAAGGATTACAACACCGCAACAAAGGAGGGTTCCGGCACCATCTAAAATCAAACCATGAAATCAGAGTGCAAATTTGAGTTTTGAGACTAATAAAGGTAATTTAAACATTGGCGATAAATTTCAAGTCAATGTTTCACACAACACGTCCTAAGATCGAGTCCTAACCCAAATGATTACCACAATGGTAGCCAATAAAAAGACTAAAATGCCTCTATCAAATAATCGAGTTCAAATCCAATTAGGAGAATTCTTAAAATAATAGTACCCAAGGGCCATATTATATCTCCAATTGGCAATGTCATCTACCACCGTGTTCTTCTTCCGACAAACATGCACTAACTCGCATCTAACTTGCATGTCATTAGTCTTTTTTTTTTTTAAACAAAAAAAAAAAGAAAACCCAATAATTAAACTACACCTAAAACTATAATTGTCGTTTTCGAAATACCAGCTTCCCTTGTTCACATGCACAACCACCGGTGGAACAGTGAATCGGGTAAGAATTTCGACACTCCTCTTTTCCCCTTCAGAACACCCCTCCCTCATCGTTTCCGCCCTTTGATTTGTTCACACTTCACAGGTTATAAGTTCGGTTTAGGGACGGAAACAATGACAGGAGAGTGCATGTGGAAGAAAGGGGCGAGCAGAAATCACTATACATACGGAACTCCGACTAGATATCAGATAAAAAAACTCCGACTAGATATCCGATGAAAAATAACTCATCAGGAGTAAGCACCCATCAACACGACAATAACAGAGATATAAATTAGCAATTTGACAACTTAAAAGACGAAGAATATAAACTAACATTTTATGATTCCCTTCAAAATTAAGTTAATACAAAACATGATTTTCCACATGAGGTGGATGCTTCTACATGTTTTTCCAATGGAACCTACCTATGCAAAATTTAAAAATTACACAGCAATAACTGACGGAGTATTAACGAGTTCAATCCGTTCCTGGTATCCTACCTGTAGATTGCAGAACTCACCCAGCAAGGCTTAAGAAAACCAACAACCACCTCCAAATTGTTTACTTGCCCCAAAATCACCGACCAAGAATATCAGAAATTCTAACACTACAATCTCGAGAAATCCTCTGTTCAGCAAATATGAATAACTAATACATATTAAGATTTCCATCTAGCAAAAGTTAGCTTCAGGTCAGTTATATCCATCTTATACATGTTTTTCATGGCAGTGTTGGACAGCAGTACTTGGTAGGATTTGCCTATACACCTCAACTAATCTGATCCGACACAGTGGCATTAAGAAATATGAACTAATATAATCGGAACCACGATGGTGAGAAGAGGAGTTGTCATGTAATATAGTCAATAATAAGCCCCACACCCCCCACCACCACAACAAAAAAAAACCAAAAAAAAAAAAAAAACCCACTTCACTTAAGCTAGCACACAAGTCAAAAAATTATGCAGGTCCTGTAACAAACTAGATATCTAGCACCCTAACGAAACTCCATTATTGCAGCCATCTTCAACTGTGCATGAGCTCGACTCTTTTGATTCTTAATTAACATGTTTTTACCATTCAACACAGCATCAAAAGTTTATAATTTGACCACCAATAACTAATATTACAAGGATCGATTGATTAGAAAACTAAGACCTAGACCCCACATTAATGGTTGAAGTTGGTTATCAGCACAGGTACTAACAGCTCAGAAGGTGTAGACTTAGCAAACCAAACTCATATTACTGCTGTTCAACACTGCATCATGCTTATGCAAGCTAAACAATTACAAGATATTATCTTTGTGTCATACATCAGTTGGATAAGTGACCAACCAAAAGTTGCCACTAAAGCATCCTCTAGTACTAAATTTCCCTAGATTGTAAATACTGAATTTCTGACATTCTTGGTAAAATTGCAGGGTAGGTTAACACTAAGTAGGTAATTGTTGATTATTGAAAGCCTCACCAGGAAATTTGAGAAAGGAGCCCAAACCAAGCATGAAATAACACTCCCCTACACTGCCAAATTGAGTTCAGCAACTTGTCGAAGATACCTATTGACCATTGGAAAAATACTCCACCTGATAATCCATGCAATCAGAGATATCTATGGGTACGGACGGCTCTGAGGGAACGACAAAATGTTAGAATCCTATACCTGCAAAAGAAACATAAGTATAAGAAAAACTGAAGCACCTCAAGTAACAAAATCATAAAACACTTGTATGCCAAACAAGACAGGAGCAGAATCGAAAGTAGATTAAAACTGGCTACCTATCTCCCAAATTTCATAAATTTAACTTACTACTAAGAAATGAAACTTCTCTTCAAACCTCTCCACCAGCGCTGCCTGCTATGGCTGCCTTCTAATTTAAAAAATAAAAAACAATACAAAAATCAGCTGCAAGAAGCAGAATGAAGAAGGGGAAAAAAGTCATTCAAAATGTTCTAAAAAAAAAAAAAAATTAAATCAAGAGCTTCTTTACCTGCTCAACATTACCCTTATCATTCACTTGAGTAAGAGAACCTTTCGAGGTGTTTGAAAACCTAGAAAGATAATATAAATGGTCTTATGAGAATTAAAACACTGAAAAAAGAAACCTCAACGGAGAAAATAAAGAAAATATAACCATCAGGGCTTCAGTAGCTACTAAAACATTTAACGATCTATTAAAATAATGAATAAATAGCTTGCGGTGCTGCATACCTGAGAGCCCTCGCCTTTCTTTTTTCTTCTTCCTGAGGATCAGTTTTAGCATCTGGTTTGGCATTAGGAGCAAACCGAGCAAGACGAGCCTTCTTCTTTGCATCCTCATCACCCACCACAGCAGGGCCAGGAAGCCCAAACCTGATTACAAGAAAGAAACTAATGACGATCTTTATCACAAAACAAACAAATAACCCGACATTTGCTAAAATTCAAATTGAAGAATTCTGTAATGTAGGAACGCAAACCTCTCTGCTCTAGCCTTCCTCTTCAAGTCCTCTGATTTCTTAGATGCTTCGGATCCGTGTGATGTAGAAACAGTACCAAACCTGACATAATATCAAACACCTTCTTTAGAAACGCAATTCTTCTCAGGGGATAATATACGAATGTATTGTCACTACAACTAAATTAAGTCCAATCCTCATCTAATTCAAACAAATAAATTATATTTAGTGAAGTTAAGATCCTAATTTAGATTTAATTTTGGTATATCATCCTTCAATTCGTTTTATCAGATTGTAATTGAACAATTTGCAACCTAATTAATAAAATCACAATCTATAATATCATGAACTAATATTTAACACTGCTTATAAGGGCCTATTTATGCATTCTGTGATTTTCTACTCTTTCAATTAACCAAATATAAACAAAACCAGAAAGCGTAAAAACAACCCTAACCCTAGAAATTGACCCAAAAGAACAAATCCCAATTACCTCTCAGCGCGAGAGTTGCGCTTCTCTTTTTCTGTGAGCTGCACGGATATCCCAAACCGCTCGGCACGGCGCAACTTCTTCTCAATGGCGGTAGCCGGAGCAGCCGCGTCACCGGTGGCAGAGTCAGTCTTGGGATCCTCAGAGTCAGCCTTGGACCCGTTTTCTTTGGAGGCAACCTCGGACGACGGAGGTGGATCAGATGGAGTGTCAGCGGACGGGTTATCGGGTCGATCCGGAATTGTGGCCGTGGGTGGGGCCGCGGAGGGTTCTAGGGTTTTCTTAGGGGCTTCTAAGGCGGTGATGGGATCGCTGGGCTTCTGTGTGTCGGTGGCCATTGGAGAAGTGCGGCAAAGAAGGTTAGAGAGAGAGAGAGAGAGAGAGAGAGAGGTGTTTGGGTGTAGGTTAGGTTGTGAATGCGAAGAGTCGAATAGTGAATGTGCAAACAAGAAACGTGTCATTTTTTGGGGGATATTTGGCCTCCTATTTTTTTTTTTTTTTTTGGAAGATATTTTGCCTGTTTATTATGCCCCGCGTGTCGGCGTGGTGCAACAAAAATAAATAAAAAATATCCCAGCGTGGTAAATTTGATTGGTCAAAGTCAAAAACTAAATTTATGAAATTACCGGTTTTCCTTTTCTCTTTTTTTTTGTCATGAATTACACGGTTGTTTTATTTATTTATGCATAATGTTAAGAAAATTAAATGTGTTATTGAATTAAGATTAAAAATTTATCTTTGTATATTGGTGGCAATTGACCTTTGTAAGTTAAATTAAAAATTTAATTTATTTATTGTGCAAGTGATCCTTTACCATAGTGATGAAAATGTGTTGTATCTTTGCATAACGACTTAGGTTCGAACCCTGTCAATGTCTAATCTAACATTTAACTTACTAATGCTATCGTTTCACTCAAAAAAATAATAATAATTTATTGTTTTTGGGTTTAGGGTTTAGTTTTAAATTCTAAATTTGTTTCAAATTTAAAATATGTTGAATTATTATTTTAACTCTTTTTAGTTTAATTGTAATTTTAGAGTTTTTGAGAGGCAATTTATGGTATTTTGAATGTTTTACTAACTTGGATGCTCCTTTTATACAGAGATTTATTTTGGGTAAATTATCTGTGTATGATATAATTGTGCTTCGGTGTCAAAAAAAAATGAGGTACTCACCGAATTACCCCTTGAACTTGTAAGGAGTTGCCAATTTCCCCCCTGAACTTTAATTTTAGCCAATTACCCCCCTGAACTTGTGTAATTCACCAATTTACCCCCTACCGTTATATCTTAAAATTTTCCATCCAATTTTCCATCCAATTTGGTCACATGCTTGGCACATGCTAATGGTGTGAGGGTAAAAAGGTAATCATATACCACAACAAACCTAATCGATGTCGGGTATATGGGGAAGCAGGGGAACGCAAGCCGCATCCTAGGGTTACAATTTGAGAAAAGATAATCAAGAAGCAGGGGAATGATGAGTATGGTGGTCATAGATGGTGGACATCCTCCAAGATACAGTAAGTCTTCAATTTTTCCTTCTCAATTTCCTCCAAGATACAGACCAAGCAAATAATTATCAAATTATTCTCTCTGTCTATCCCTCACGTAAGCTTTCTAGGTGTTGTTGTAATTGTCCAGGTTGGGATTTCAATGCTATTCCGATTCATCTTTGCCTTTTCAACCAAATTGCTTCACACTTTTGTCAACATAAAAGACACATTTAATTGGGTGAACCATCTTCATTCTGATTATATTTTAATGCATTTGTTGTAGGTAATCATGACCTATTCACACTTGAAATACACCATGGTGGTCACTTTAAAGATGGGCAGTATGTGGGTGGTATTGTACAGTGGGTTGACAATTATACTAAAGATTATATGTCCATGCTTGATCTGTATGAGGTTGCTATAGTGCTTGGGTATAATAAAGAGACTGTGGGTTTTTACTATTGGCACCAAATAAAGGGTTTTTTGCAAATTGAATGCGATGCAGATGTGTTTCAGTGGGTTTCACTCATATCTCCTCAAGTTAGGTTGCATTTGTTATACTTGGTTGACTTAAGGAAAATCACAAACAATCTTGCGAGTGATCCGTGTGCAGCTACATTTGTTGATATGGATGTTCAGTTTGAGGGGTTTAATGCGGATGATGAATATGAAGAAAATAAGAGTGTGGAAGTTGTTGGAGACACTGTAGATGGAATAGATGAAGAGGTTACAGATTCAGAAAAAGAGGAAGATGACGATGAGGTTACTCTTAAGTTCAAGGATTCTGACTATGAACAATCCGAGGAAGATGCTGATAAAGGTGCAAAAAATGTACAGGCAAATGATGTCTTGTTTGATCAGATTGTAGCGAGTGATTCTATTGAAGAAACACACAGAGAACTTGGTGAGATCTCCACTGAAGAATACAATTCAGAAGATTTAGATAGTGTTAGGTCTGAGTCTGAAAAGCATGAAGCCAATGTGAGGGTTAGAAGAAGACTCAAAACACCTAAGCTACCTCAATATAGGAGAGAGTCAGATAAAATTAATCCCACTCTTCATCTAGGTTTGGAATTTCCAAACATGAAACAATGCAGGGAGGCAATAAGGGCATATGGCGTGTCTGTTTGTCGACCGCTAGATTGGGCAGTGAATGATTCCAACAGATTACGGATCAAGTATCTAGGAAAAGCTGCAGTACCTTGTCAATGGAAATTGTATGCCTCTTTTGTGGGGAAGGGACCAACAGTTAGAATTAAAACCTATAATCCTGAACACATTTGTGTAAGAGAGGAGCATTCTAAATTTGCCACTTCCTCTTGGTTAGCTGATTGGTTCGATGATGAGCTTAGATCGAAACCCGATATGAGTGTGACTGGTTTCATGGAACTTGTGAGAAAGCATTATGGTATTGACATAACAAAAAACCAAGTTTACAAAGCAAAGAGAATTGCCAAAAAAGTGACAGAAGGTAGTATAGATGAGCAATATGCCAAGCTTTGGGATTACTTGGAAGAGTTGAAAGTGAGAAATCCTGGGAGTACTATCAAAGTAAAAACAGATTTCCAAGGTGAAAACCCTATTTTTAAAAGGTTGTATATATGCTTTGCTACATTGAAGAAAGGCTTTCAACAAGGGTGTGGGTCTATAGTGGGTTTTGATGGGTGTCATATTAAGGGACCCCATCCTGGTCAAATCTTAAGTGCTGTTGGTGTTGATGCCAATAACGGCATGTTTCCAATAGCATTTGCTGTTGTGGAGGTGGAAAATAGGGAGACTTGGACTTGGTTTTTGGAGATCTTTTTCGAGGATGTGGGAATTGAGAATGGAAATGCTTGGACATTCATCACTGACAAACAAAAAGGACTAGGCGATGCTATTCGGAGTCTGATGCCAACTGCAGAACACAGACATTGTGTTAGACATTTGCATAATAATTTTAGAAGTGCAGGTCACACTGGACTTGCCTTAAAACAGAGATTGTGGGCAGCAGCAAGAGCAACTACTGTACCTGCTTTTGAAGCTGAAATTGAGGTGATGAATAATCAATCTGATAAGGCAGTGGAATGGCTAGCTGATAAGCCACCTTGCCATTGGAGCAGATCTTATTTCAGAACATCGGTAAAGTGTGATTTGTTATTGAATAACATGTGTGAGTCATTTAATTCTGCAATTTTAGATGCAAGAGATAAACTGATTATTACGATGTTACAAAGGATTCAAAAATATTTGATGTTGAGAATGGCTAGGCTAAGAGAAGCTAAGTGGACGCAACAAGTTGGACCTAGAATTTTAAAGATTGTTGAAAAAAATCAAATGGATAGTTTCAGTTGTTTTGCCAATTATTTAGGGAATGGTCAATATCAAGTGCATACTTTGGTTGGTAGTATGTTTGCAGTAGATTTGGAAAGGCACACTTGCTCTTGTAGGAAGTGGCAGCTATGTGGCATTCCTTGTCCCCATGCTATATCTGCAATTGCTAGGAAGGAGGCTAGTCCACAATTGTTTGTTCACTCACTTTACAAAAGGCCAGCTTATGATAGGTGTTATGAAGGGTATATTGCTCCTATGCCTGAAAAAGAACAGTGGAAGAGAACCTACCTTAGGCCTATTAAACCTCTTTTTTACCACAAACAACCTGGAAGACCTAAAGGCAAAAGAACAAAAGCACCAGATGAGATAAAGAAGGGGGCAACAAAGCTAAGGAAGTATGATGTTGTAATGCATTGCCAAACCTGTGGAGAGGAAGGACACAACAAAAAATGTTGTCCACAAGGGCTACTACAATCACAACAAGGTTTTGGACTCACAAAAGAGGTAATTTGATCAACAAGGATTGTATTTATTTTGAGTCTTGTTATATCACTTATCTAGTCGCTAAGTGAACATAAATAATGTAGAGTCATGGGCGAACAGTCGGTACAAGCATATCTAAAGGGTCTAGCTCAAATGCAAAAGGACCTAAAACGCCAAAAGGAAATAACACAATAAGTGGTCTTAACTCAAAAGCAAAAGGATTGACCACAGTTGCAAAGGTAATTGTAAATTGGACTTGTATCAAATACTTATATTGTGTTTGACTCTACTATATATGCAATTGTATGAAATTACTAATTGGGTATAAATGGTTTTGATGTAGGAAATTGGTGCACATCACCACTCATGGGCTGCTCCATCTCAAACTAGGCCACAAGGAACTTCTAAACTACATGTAATAACAAGAATCTGTCTTTTTTAATTTAAAAAAAAAATTGTTATAGATTAATTTTTGTTGTTTTGGGTTTGCTAACATTTTTGTTGCTTCCGTGTTGAATTGAAATAGGTGAACCGAGGTGGTCGTGTGAATCAAGTCACAAGGAAGGCTAATGAAATGGCATCACAACCCCAACATGTTGCCAAAAAAGCAAGACCATGGAGAGTGTAACTATGATGTGTTGGAGGGCCTTTCGTACTGTTAATGAAAATCTTTGGTGTTGAGGTTAAGTTGTTCTTTTAATGGGATTATGCTGCAGAACTATAAAATTGATAGGTTTTATTGGTTTTGGCACTAGGTGCAAGTCTGTTGCATATTTTTTGTGGATGTTGTTAACTTTATTGTAGTAAGAATCGTTAATTTCATTTTGGTAAACTGGGTGCTGAGCCAATATTTTGCAGTTGCTAATTAGACTTTTATGGTTAATTTAGATAAAATTGTTCGAAGTGAACTAGCGGAAGAGAAGAAGAAAAATAGAATGTCCACATTATGAATAAAATTACTTTTTTACCCTAAAAAAAATTGGCACGTGATGTGCATGTGACTGAGTTGGATGGAAAATTGGATGGAAAATTCTCAAATCTAACATCAGGGGGTAAATTGGCCAATTTTCCAAGTTCAGGGGGGTAATTGGCTAAAATTAAAGTACAGGGGGGAAATTGGCAGTTCCTTACAAGTTCAGGGGAGAAAACGACAAATACCCCAAAAAAAATTTTATATGACATGGGACGTCACAATAATATGGTATTAGATTAAGCCCCGATTGAAACTATATTTATTGTGTGAGCACAAAAATTAGGTAGGGTTAACAAATATGTATATAGTAAGTACGGTTTTAAGTAGGAAAATCAGAGGGCTTAGGGTTTCTCACCCAATTTTGGGGGTGTTTGCGAAGCACTAGTTGTTAGATTCTAAGGATTAGTTTGGGGTTGATGTGCTATGAAAAAAGAAAAAAAAAACACTAGTAAGGGTAGAGCTGCTTCTGCTTTCTGCTTTTTTTTGCCCATGATTTTGACAAAAAACACTTTTTTTTTTTTTCATTTGCTAACCATAATTGTCACATCCCGGCCCGGGGCGGAACACTTCCTGGGTCCGCTCCACCACCGTAGCACGATATTGTCCGCTTTAGGCTGTGGGATGTCACAATAATTTTAGCCCCAATTTTTTTAAAAATTTATTTTTAAAATAATTTCAGCAATGACAAACCAAGAAACTTCAAATAGTCCCTCGAACTTGTAGTAATAAATTAAGTATTTATTCTCATGCTTATATATTGTTGTAATTTTTATTTGTGGCCAATTTATTCAAAAAAGATAAGACACCCACCACACATTTACTACCATTACCACTGCACACCACACAGCTTCTTTCCCTTCCCTCATTTGAATTTGGCACCAATCTTAGCATTTAAAAAAAATAAAAAAAAATAAAAAAATTTGACACCAATTAGCCTTCTAATGACCGCCATGGGCACGGCTTCCGTCATCCATAACGGCGTCCACATCCATCTGAAGCTCAATTCCCGACGGCCTAGGCTTTCATTGCCATATCCATCCCCAAATTGGAGTAGGCCCCACTTCTTTCACCATCACATCGTTTCCGTCCGTACAGGTCTCTCACTCACTCTTCCTCGATTCAGTTTCATATGTGCAGTTGCCATATCTGATTTACATATTTGTATTGCAGGTGGCCAATCTGCGCCGATTGCACGGTCTAGAGCAATTGAGCAGGACGATGATTTATCCACCTCAGGTGACTGTTTTCTAATACTCATTGGATGTAAAATTGAGATTCATGAGCAAAAATGTAGTTGCCCACTTTAATTATGTATATATTTTTGACATTGGTAAATTCGAAAAAACACCCTCACAAACTATAAAAGTTCCATAAAAATACACTTCAAGGGTTCAACGGAGAAAAAAAAAACCTCAGGTAACCAAGTGTAATGTTCTAATTGGTTTTTAGTTGCTAAAACCCTTTTGTGCCCTTCTTCAATTGAAATTCAGGATGGAATTTTTTTCAAAGTATTGGGCTTGAAGTACTTTTCTCTAAAATGTAATGTTATTAATGGATTCTTGTGAAAAAAAAAAAATGAAACCTTTTTTAAGGGTTCAATCTAAAGCAACCATATGTTGCTTTAATGAGTTCATGTAAATTGAGTCTAACGACTTTAGATCCAAAAGGACTGGCTTTTGTGAGAATTTTGCGCAAATTATGTCAAATGTGGATATTTTCTGTAGTTTATATGAACTTTCCGCTTGAATCTGCAGAAGAAAAGAGGGGCGATTCTACACCACGTGATGGCATTAGTAAAGTGGAAAGCTCTCCTGATGAAGCTCCGAAGAAAATTAAGGGACCCGAAACATATGCTGCTTCAGTAAGAACTGTAGCCTTGTGGGTGAGCACCTCTCAGCTTAATTTGAACTCTCTACTTCAACAATGCTGATAAATGTAGCTATTAATTCCTTTAGGTTTTTGCCGCGGTTGCATTTGGCATTGGTGTAGGATTTAAAGAAGGAGTTGACAAGGCAACGGAATTCTTTGCTGGGTATGCAGAGATTTCTACTGTGAAAGCTTTCTAACAGTGGATATGAAGTTAAACTCCTTGTTTCTTTGAAGCATTAGTTATTTTTGTTGAAACTGAACTAGGTTACTAGGGCTTTGAAAACACACAGTATGAAAATGCAAGGATGCTTGGGAGAATTCTCCTTTTTCACTGAAACAAAACAACTTCGGCTATTAAATAGCCTTACATCGAACGGGAAGTCAAATAGCAATCCACAACTAACAAGATCCTAAAATTGTGGTGAGTGACTAGATTAAAACAGAAAAGAAACAACTTGTCCCTCAAGTATAGGAGGGTTATTTGCATGTCCAGGATCAACCAACCCTAGAACAAAGGGATAAACCCTAGAATAAAGGAAACCCTAACAACTAGACTATTGAATATTTCAACATCCTCCCTTAAACTGAATACCATTGATATTTAGTTTATACCAGGGTATTCACGAACACCCATTAATTCACGCAACTTTAGAAATGTTTCGAGCTTCACTGGCTTTGTTATAATGTCTGCAATCTGTTCTTGGGTAGAACACTGGAACAGTTCTACAACTCCATCTTTGACAAGGTCTCGAAGAAAATGAAACCGAACATCTATGTGTTTACTGTGATCGTGAAGCACCGGATTCTTTGAAAGTTTAATGGTGGACACATTATCACAATAAACTATTGTTGGACCATCTAGCTTTACACTTAAACTTCCCAGAATTCTTCTCATCCACACTACCTGACATGCACTAGAAGCTGCAGTTATAAACTCCGCCTCAGCAGTAGAGAGAGTGACCACTGGTTGTTTCTTTGAAGACCATGAGACTACACCTGAATTCATCATAAACACATAACCCGAAGTACTCTTTCTATCATCTTGATCACCAGCATAGTCACTATCCGTGTACCCCATGAGCTCTTCATCTCCTTCTTTCTTGTAGAACATACCAAAACCAGCAGTGCCTTTTATGTACCTTAAGATCCTTTTTGCTGCCATCAGATGAGATTCAGTAGGATGCTCCATATACCTACTGATCAGACTTACAGTGAACATGATATCTGGACGTGTAGCTGTTAGGTACATGAGACTTCCAACCATTTGCTTACAGAGCGTGCTATCAACCTTTACTCCCTCTTCATCACTAGTCAGTTTAAAACCAACAATAGGGTTGTGTACTGAGTTGCACTAATCCATATTAAATCTTTCCAACACCTCGTGCATACTTTCGTTGACTAATAAATATTCCATCCGCTTTCTGTACTCCTTCTATGCCAAGAAAGTACCTCATTCTTCCGAGATCAGTCATGTCAAATTCATTCATCATGGATTTTTTAAATTGCTCAAACAGTGATTCATCATTTCCAGTGAATATGAGATCATCAACATAGATGAAACAATTAGGATTTTACCTTCATTAGCGACCTTAATGAACAATGTATGCTCGTAGGGACATTTGTTAAAACCCTCCTTGATGAAGTATGCCTCGATCCGACTGTACCATGCCCATGGAGCCTGCTTGAGTCCATATGGTGCCTTTTTAAGATGATATACCTTGGATTCACTCCCTTTCTGTTCATAACCTGGTGGCTGTTCAACAAAAACTTCTTCATCAATTGCACCATGTAGGAAGGCTGATTTGACATGGAGTTGGTAAATTTTCCAACTCCTCTGTGCAGCGAGGGAGATGACCACTCGAATTGTATCCATCCGAGCCACTGGTGCAAACACCTCAGAAAAATCCACTCCATATTGCTGACTATCCCTTAGCAGCAAGCTGAGCCTTATATTTGTCCACTTCCCCATTTTCATTCAATTTCATCTTGAACACCCACTTTACTCCAATGGTTTTTCCTCCTGGTGGTAGATTAGTCAACTCCCACGTATCATCCTTCTCTATAGCTTCTATTTCTTGTTGCATTGTTTGTCTCCCCTTCTCACTCTTGACGGCATCATAGTAAGTAGTAGGATCACCATTAGTAAACAAGGCTAGGTAAGCCAAGTTCACATTTTCTTCGTCAGAGATACCCTCACCAGTTTCATAATCTTTCATCCAGATTGGTGGTCTTCGAGTTCGTCTCTCTTGAGATGCACTGCCTTCAGTCATGGCTCCTCCTACTTCATGAGACTCATCATCTTCAATGTCTTCAATATCTCCAGATCCCTTTTCATTTTCTGTGGTTGTTTCTTCATTAGTTTCCCATTCCAGATCAATTAAGACAACCTGCTCATAAACCTCATCCCAGTTCCACTGCTCATCTTCCTCAAAAACCACATCTCGACTAACAACAATTTTCTATGAAATAGGATCAAACAGTCTGTAAGCTTTAGATTCTTCACTTACCCCTATTAGTATGCATTTGAGGCTTTTATCATCTAGTTTCACTCTCTTGCTGTCAGGAATGTGCACGTGAGAGATGCATCCAAACATTCTAAAGTGATCCACCGATGGTTTGCGCCCACTTCAAGCTTCTTCAGGTGTTTTGTTTTTTACGGCACGAGTTGGACTTCTATTTAATACATGCACCGCCCAGTTTACAGCTTCAGGCCAGAATGGCTTTGGAATTTTCTTCTCTGACAGCATGCAACGTACTATATTCATGATAGTTCGATTTTTCCTTTCTGCTACGCCGTTCTGTTGAGGTGTGTAGGCAGCCGTCAATTGTCTGTGAATGCCATTCTCATTGCAAAAATTTGTGAATTCATGTGACATGAATTCACCTCCTCGATCTGTCCTTAAGCCTCTTATGAATGCTCCTGTTTCTTTCTCCACACTAGCTTTATATATTTTGAACATGGCAAAGGCTTCTGATTTTTCAACCAGAAAGTAAACCCACGTTCTTCTACTAAAGTCATCAATAAAGGTGAGAAGATACCTCTTCTTACTATTTGAAATGGGACTTATCGGGCCACATATGTCAGCATGTATTAACTGTAGTATTTTGGATGCTCTCCACATACTTTCATGTGGAAAGGAGTCACGATGCTGCTTTCCCACAAGACAGTCTTCACACATCTTCTGAGAAGCTTTGAGCTTTGGCAATCCTTCAACTAAATTCTTTTGTTATAGCACCTTCAATCCATTCCAGCTCAGATGACCATACCGACAGTGCCAGAAAGTTGCCTGGTCTGTGGTTGTCATGGTGAGACATTTTTGTTCCCTTATTGGACAATGAGCAATCAAGGCGAACATCCTATTGCACGTCATCTCCGTCTCTAGAATTAGACCTTTCTCAGGATGAAAGATCTTACACTTTTCGTGTTGCATGAGTACTGCGAGTCCTCTGTCTTGCAGTTGACCAATACTCAGCAGATTATTCTTTAACTCAGGTACAAAGAAAACTCCTGTGATGACATGCATGATCCCATGCACTTCTAGTCGTACCTTGCCTTTGCCCTTTACACTGAGACTGGAGTCATTCCCCAGTTTCACTGACTCTCGAAAGCTATCATCCATCTCAGAAAACACTTCTCTTCTGCCACACATATGATTACTACATCCAGAGTCAAGAAACCAAATATACTCCTTCTTAGCTTCCTTAATCTCCACGTGCGCCATTAGCAACATTTCTTCCTTGGTTTCTACAAAATTCGCCTGTGAATCCCCAGCTTTCTTTGGACATTCCCACTGAAAGTGCCCTAGTGCATGACAATTGTAGCATTCGATGATAGATTTGTCAAACCCAGATCTACCTCTTCCTCTCCCTCTTCCTCGGTAGGACACACGACCGCCACTTCTTCGTCCTTGCTGACCTCCTGAGGTGACTTGGAGGGCTTGTTCATCCATAACTCGGCGACTAACTCTTTGTTCATACACAAGAAGACTCTCTGGAGTTCATCAATGGATAACGCATCCACGTCATTCGACTCTTCAATCGAGCAAACAACATAGTCGTATTTTGAAGTCATGGACCTCAAGATTTTTTCAATAATCACCACATCCTCCATTCGTTCTCCGTGAATTCTCATCTTATTAGCTATAGCAAGCGTTCTGCCAAAGTAGTCATTGACAGTTTCCCCAGTCTTCAAATGCAGTAATTCAAAATCCTTCCGAAGAGCCTGCAGTTGGGCACGCTTCACACGTGTTGTTCCCTGATATTTCTGTTTCAAGGAGTCCCATATATCCTTAGCTGTGTCCTTCAAAATCGTCTCTAGGATTGAGCAATCAATGGCCTGGATAGATAGTTCTTGGCCTTCAAGTCTTTCGATTTCTGCTCCTCCAGCGCCTTCTTCTGCATCTCACTAGATTTAGCTCCTCCTGCTACTGCAGTGATTCCTATCTCCACCAGGTTCCAATATTCTTTGGAATGCAGAAAGTTCTCCATAAGCATACTCCAATGATCATAGTGCCCATCGAACCTTGGGATAGCTGGTTGTACAAAGTTGCTCTCAGATGCCATAGTGGTGTTCTCTCACACTAACAACCGGTTTGGTCAGGCCCCGTGATAGGGCTCTGATACCAGATGTTGAAACTGAACTAGGTTACTAGGGCTTTGAAAACACACAGTATGAAAATGCAAGGATGCTTGGGAGAATTCTCTTTTTTCACTGAAACAAAACATCTTCGGCTATTAAATAGCCTTACATCGAATGGGAAGTCAAATAGCAATCCACAACTAACAAGATCCTAAAATTGTGGTGAGTGACTAGATTAAAACAGAAAAGAAACAACTTGTCCCTCAAGTATAGGAGGGTTATTTGCACGTCCAGGATCAATCAACCCTAGAACAAAGGGTTAAACCCTAGAATAAAGGAAACCCTAACAACTAGACTGTTGAATATTTCAACAATTTTCCGGTGTCTTAATAAAATGGGCAATACATACTTTTAATTTGGTGATATTGTTCATCTGACTGGATGGTTTATATATGATTTGGTTTTTTTCCTTTATGCGTATATTTTCGTGCTGGATTCTAAATGTTAGGATGTATTAGGTATTTACTGGAACAAAGCTTGTTAGTAGACAATCTGTTTGTCTTTGTTCTAGTTTTCAAGTACTTCAAGGTGCCACTTATGTATCAGGTATTTTGTAAACCTTTTAGCACTCAAATTTATGTTCTATAGGTTCTCAATTTTTATGTAAAAGATTGTTTTTGAATAAAGCTGTCTGTAATTCATGGTTACGAAAGCTTTGCTCCCTGAACTACAGAATCGGGTACTTTCATATGGTATTGCCGGAGCAGTGGTCTTTCGTTTGACATTAATTCTCCTTGGAACAGCTACACTTCAGGTAAACTTATAGTTCTCTGTGCATATTTGTGCTTGTGATCCTATACTTCTTGTTTTTACATGTTCATTTTGTAATTTTCGGGATGTGTTGCTTTAGAAGTTTGAAGTGGTAAATCTTTTCCTGGCCGCAATACTCCTTTACTCATCTTTCAAGGTGAATCTTCTATTCTGAAAATGGTGTGATAACTATATTTTTTTTCTTATATATTTTCTCAATGGATTGTTGACTGAGTTTACTCCTTAAATTAAACCTGTGTTTCTGCACTTATTGACTTCTTGCCATCAGATGACTCAAAATATCTTTTTTATTGTTCTAGCTATTTTCCAGTGGGGAAGATGACACTGATCTATCCAACAATTTTATTGTGAAGACATGCCAGAGATTCATCCCAGTCACATGTAATGTTTTCCTGTGTATTTATTTTCTTCCTACTTCTAGTCAAAGTGTCGATTGTTGATTCTTTGTAATTCAAGCTTGGATCAAAATTGAAAATTCTAAATTTATAGGGGATGATCTGATCCTTGTCTTTTTTATCTCATTTGAATTTTGAACTCACTTTTAGTAAATAACCTTGAGCATGACCTTTGAATATAGAAAGACTTAGTAGACCATCTTTCGGGCGGAATCTTTCAGTTTGGCGAGACTTTGCATACTTGAATTTTACACTACATCATAATAAGAAAAAAAAAAAAAAAAAAAAAAAGGATTGTGTAGATTACTTTGTCCTGCAAATTTACATCCTTTTAACCATTTTGCCACCTGATCAGCTATCTTGCAAAACGCACTTTGCACTAGCTTCTTTCTGGTATATTATCTAATCCATACCTTTTTTTCTGGTGAATTCTTGCAGCTAATTATGGTGGGAATCGATTCTTTACATTTCAAGATGGTGTCCGGAAGGTAAGTTGTTGATGGGATCTTCTTAGGTTACAACATTTTATTTCACAGTTATGGAGATATAAAACTCTTAAACTGCACAGATGTAATTTACAACTTCCTCTGGATCAAGATGCAACATTTTACATTTTCTGAATCCAAATTAATCAATATTTGTGTTAAATTAATGGTTACTTGATCTCTAACAGGTGTCAAACATTTTGGGCAGGCCACACCTTTACTTCTCACAGTAGCAGTTATTGAGCTCAGTGACATAGCATTTGCTGTAGGTTTCCCCACCTACCAATAATGTCAGACATTATTATATACGATGCACGTTGCTTTTCCAGTTAATGTTGTAATTGAAATAATGATGTGATGCTACATTTTTCTATAGGTCGACTCTATACCGGCAGTTTTCTGCGTTACTCGGGATCCTTTTATAGTTTTCAGTTCTAATCTTTTTGCCATCGTTGGTAATTCTTGTTAGATGTAGGATTCAATTGACCATATTTCTGTGAATTACGGCCGAGTTGCTATACAGTTACAATCTTATTTCTAAATGCGTGCGCATTTCTGCAGCAGATGATAGTTAACCCTTTCCCAATGAGTGCAGGTTTAAGGTCGCTTTACACACTTATTTCTCAGGGTATGTCAGACTTGGAGTATTTACAGGTACAAATTTGACCATCTCTACTTGAATTTCTAGCTCTTTCTGCACAATGAACTAGTGATCATCTACCCATAGATAACCATCAGCACAGGGACTCACTCGATTAAACTGTTAATTCCTAATTTAAGGTTCTTTGCTTCCTTTTAAAAGTTAAAATCCTATAAGGTTACATATTGTTCCGATTCTCTCATTTCAGCCATCAATTGCTGTTGTTCTGGGCTTTATCGGGTGTAAGATGATCCTGGATTTTTTTTGGTGGGTATTTCAAGTACTATTGTATTTGTAAAAAATCTTCAATCCATCCTAAATTCACCTTTTCTCAACTCCTCGACGGGGTTCCATGTATCAACCGAGGTGTCTCTTGGCCTTGTAGCTACAGGTCTTAGTGCTGGGGTGCTGTTAAGTCTAATGAAGAAGTCTGACTAGTTTAAGGAAACCATTCAAGCTCAGGGCAGGTGAAAAAATCTGAACTTTTTTTATTTTTATTCTCGCTTGAACTATTTTTCTTTAGTTCTTCGTTTTTATTATATTTTTGGCATTTAATCTTGCCTTTTTTCTATCAACAATTGTTGTTAACAGTTATGCAATAACAACCATTCAAATTCAGTAAAAAGAAAATTTTCAGATAACTCTTTCGGCACAAAATGTGTACTGAGAAACCATCAACAAGAGGGGAAAACGCAGTTTGAGTTGAAAGTCAATGTCGGATATAACCAGAAAATGGTGGCGATTATATAATACACGTATCAGAAACCACTAGCAGAAACTTTGTGGACGAGAAAGTGATTTGCCTTTCTTATTCTTCTTCCCTATGGTCTGTGATTCATGAACTCACGCATGAGATGTGAATGCTTTTGTTATAGTAATAGTGAGAAAAGCAATGGCGGAAATCTTGCAAGGTTGAAGGAAGAAGATTTTTCTTTCGTGGTCATGTCCCGCAAAGCGTTTGGCCATGAATTATGTGAAGAGTTAAGTTTCTCTTAGTCCAACAACGATAGACCGGCAAAGGCGTCGCAATTTCATCAACGATGAGATCTATGTTTGGGTAAATCATGTAAGTAGCAGCTTTCTTTTGGTTGTAATGAGAAGCAGATGGATGGAATAATTCAATTTTGTAGCTTAAAGTATACAGATGTCATTTACTCGTATTATAATGTGAATCAGTAACACAATTTGGTGGCATGATGTTCATATTCAACTAGTTCAGGCGCAAGCAAAACCTAAAGAATTTCTTTCCTCAACTATTTGTACTGTATCTGAAATGAACTTTGGCTATTCCCATTCCTCAACTCCTCTAGACTATACTTATTCTCTTTCAACTAGGGGCTAATTGAAGTTGCTGACTCTCATAGCAGCGAAGGGCAGTATTTTTTCGTAGTAATAGCACCTCTCCTAACCAATCTTCGATCAAACTTGCATTCCCCAGGCGCTATGAAATATGGGTCTTTCCTCTTATCGTATGTATCGGCTTGTCCTGAGTCTATGCTTCAACATGAATCACACAAGGGTAGATTGATACAATAGAAACTTCTGGTAAAATGCCCACCCATAATCCAGCAGATAAAATACATTACATAGCCCGTTCTAATCCGGAATATGAACCATAAAAGAAAATATCGATTAAACCGATCACAAGAATTCTGGCTACAGTACCTATTATCCAAAGAGGAATCCTTCCAGTAGTATCGGCCATTTGTCCTACTGTCCTTCACATTTTATCAAGTGGTCGTGCTAGAGACATAAACAACCATAGATAATTATGAGATGGTATATTTCCGAATGGGATAAGAGAATTCCTACCATCTATTCTGGTAGAAGCCTAGAGGGTCGGAGCTCCACACACAGGTTTTAGCAGCGATGAACAGAGATAAATAATTTACTTATAGAAATAGAGGAACAAGTCCAAAAAGGTTGTCTATCTTATTCAACTCCTTATTCCATGAGTTTCTACACGATTTGAGAGATGCTTAACTTAGGCACCCTCAACGGACACTTTAAACATGAAAATTTCTTGAAACAAGAATACGTGTACAAAATAATATTTTGTGTTAATGATTTTGGGGTTACAATCTCTTTGTAATTTGGTCCTCTGATTCGATCTCCATAAGATATTGGTTTGTTGACGTGTTGTTGATCCAAGAGCTGTTGAGGCTTGATCTTGGATGAATAGTTGGAAGTTTCTTCAAGGATCGTCGGGGCTTGATCTTGAAGTTGATCCAAATGGCCGTTGGAGCTTAATCTTAGGATGAACAGGTGGGATCTTCTTCAAGGGCCTTCAGGGCTTGATCTTTGAATAATGGTTGTGCAGATTTCTTCAAGGGTCATCGAGCTTGATCTTGAAGGTTGATGGATGAGCGGATCTTCAAGGATTTTTGGGCTTGATCTTGAAGAACAGTTGGATGTGTGGATTTATTGATATTGTTGATCTAAAGGGCCGTTGGGGCTTGATCTTGGGATGAATGGATGATGAACGATGAACACTTTCTTCAAGGGCCGTCGGGGCTTAATCTTGAAGAATGATTGTGTGGATTTCTTCAAGGGCTTTTGGGCTTGATCTTGAAGAAAGGTTGGATGTGTGGATTTCTTCAAGGACCGTTGGGGCTTAATCTTGGGATGAACGGATGATGAACGATGAACACTTTCTTTTGGGAGCTTGATCTCGGGATGAACGGATGATGATCTTGGGATGAACGGATGATGAATGATGAACACTTTCTTTTGGGGCTTGATCTTGGGATGAACGGATGATGAATGATGAACACTTTCTTCAAGGGTTGTCGGGGCTTGATCTTGAAGAATGGTTATGTGGATTTCTTCAAGGGCTTTTGGGCTTGATCTTGAAGAACAGTTGGATGTGTGGATTTGTTAATGTTGTTTATCCAAAAGGGGGGCTTGATTTTGGGATAAACAGATGATGAACCATGAACACTTTCTTCGAGGGCCATCGGGGCTTGATCTTAAAGAATGGTTGTGCTGATTTCTTCAAGGGCTTTTGGGCTTGATCTTGAAGGTTGATGGATGAGCGGGTTTTCAAAGGCTTTTGGGCTTGATCTTTAAGAATGGTTGGATGTGTGGATTTGTTGATGTTGTTGATCCAAAGGGCCGTTGAGGCTTGATCTTAGGATGAACGGATGATGAACCATGAACACTTTCTTCAAGGGCCGTTGGGGCTTAATCTTGTGTTGGTGGAAGTTCTTCAAGGGTCATCGGGGCTTGATCTTGAAGGAGGATTTGATGAAGAAACAAAGAGAGCTTTCTTAATCCTTCGAGATTTGCTTGAGAGCTTTAGAGTTTCAAAACTTCAAGGTTTTGGTGTGATATCCATTCCTCCCAAAATGAATGCCTTGGCTTCCTATTTATAGAATTCCAAAACTTGATTTTTTTATTTAAATAATCAGATGAAATAAATCATTTCTGCCAGGTATTGACACGTGTCCTATTTGATGACTTTTTCGATTTATTTCAATTTTTCGTTGAGTCACACGCTACGTGTAAAATTTATGTGACATGTAAGCGTTGAAATTTTAATTATTGGTCAACATTCATTTCATCAAAATTTCGATGTCTACAAATGCCCCCACTTCAAGGCGCGTTGCATACATGTGCTTGTCACGTGCAGGAGATGCATTTTGAAGTCCCTTAATGTAAATGTCGATTCAATGGCCGTCAAGGCTTGATCTTGAAATGGACTGGAAATTTCTTCAAGGGCCACTGAAGCTTAATCTTGAATTGAGCTAAAAGTTTTCTTCAAGTGCCGTTGAGGCTTGTTCTTGAATTTTGTTTGAAATTTCTTCAAGGGCAGTCGAGTCTTGATCTTGAGTGAAATTGGACCACAAAGAACTTTAAATGGTAGATCTTTGCGCTTGTTGACTTTCCACAGCTTTGATCTTGAACGGGGTTGGAGGATTTGAGCAAGTAAGAAGAGAGTTCCCTGGTGGTGGTGGTGATTTGATGGCGTTACACCACGGTAACGGTGCCATCGAAAGGTTGTTGAAGTTTCTCAAGCTCTTTGATTAGACCAACAATGCCAAGCTTGGATTTAACTCAGACACCTCCATCTGGATCATGCGGTTTTGCAAGGAAGGGTGTCACGCGATAGTGATCTGTTACAGCTCACCATGTTGCATTCTTCTCTGCTTGCTTTTTTTTTTTTTGCATGGCCGAAGTGGTGCTCAACTTTTTGCCTCTAAATGGTCATTCAGAGCATCACTTCTCAGCGACTCATCCATGCTTGGCAGCTTCAGCGTAAAAAACCAGCATTATATCAACTGTTCTAAAGTATTTTCTGGGGAAACTCGAGACTTATTAACAATTGAAGACGAGCACTCGAGAGCAAAGCTAGGTAAGCAACCAGGCAAAGGTTCTAGGCAATTAGTTCCAGATCGAAAGTTTGATTTCAAGTTCCGACTGATTGTTTTTTTTCTCTTTGTCCTGCAGGTAAAAGTAAGGGTAAAGGAAAAGACAGAGAAAAAGCATGCTATGAGATATCTTTGCTTTCGACCCTGATGATATAAGATATTGTAGACATCGAAATTTCAGTAAAACAAATGTTCACCAATGCATTAAAGTTTTGACGTGTCAAGGCATACATGGCATACGCCACGTGTTGTACAAATTGTACACATGGCGTGTGACTCAACAAAATAGGAAGAAATACCCTTGAAGGATTAAACAAGTTTTTCTTCTCATTTTGGGCAATGACAAGGCAAGTACATTTCAATCCATTGAGGATCAAAACAAGTTTTTCTTCTCATGTTGGGCAATGACAAGGCAAGCACACTTCAATCCATTACGGATCAAAGTAAGTTTTTCTCATTTGGGCAATGACAAAGCATACACATTTCAAGTTTAAAATGGTGTTAAGTGGGAAATTAGGCCATAAGTTACACCACTTCAAGTTTAAAATGGTATTAAGTGGGAGTTTAGGCCATAAGTTACACCACTTCAAGTTTAAAATGGTATTAAGTGGGAAATTAGGCCATAAGTTACACCACTTCAATTTCAATATTGCATTAAGTGGGAAAATTAGGCAATGGTGCTTGGAAAGGAAAAAAATATTTTTGTGGTGGTGATTCATTCTCAAAGCCTATAAATAGGCTTCTCCATCAAGGTATCAAGCATCAACCAATTCACAAATACATTTCTCTACTCCAAAATTAGAAGAGGAATTCCCCAAATCCTTGAAGCTTTGAAACTCCAAAGCTTCCAACCATCCAAATTCCCAAGAATTCTGAAGGATCAAGAAAGCTCTCTTCGTTCTTCGTTAAATCCTCTTTCAAGATCAAGCCCCGACGGCCCTTGAAGAAGGTGTTCATCGTTCATCCTAAGATCAAGCCCCAACGGCCCTTTGAATCAACAGCACAAACAAATCCACACATCCAATCGTTCTTCAAGATTTAGCCCAACGGCCCTTGAAGATCCGCTCATCCATCAACCTTCAAGATCAAGCCCCGACGGCCCTTGAAGAAAGTGTTCATCCGTTCATCCTAAGCATAAGCCCCCAACGGCCCTTTGGATCAACAACCTCAACAAATCCACACATCCAATCGTTCTTCAAGATTAAGCCCAAAAGCCCTTGAAGATCCGCTCATCCATCAACCTTCAAGATCAAGCCCAAAAGCCCTTGAAGAAATCCACACAACCATTATTCAAGATCAAGCCCCGACGGCCCTTGAAGAAAGTGTTCATCCGTTCATCAACTGTTCATCCTAAGCTCAAGCCCCAACGACCCTTTGGATCAACAACCTCAACAAATCCACACATCCAATCAACCTTTAAGATCAAGCCCAAAAGCCCTTGAAGAAAACCAACTGTTCATTCAAGATCAAGCCTCGACGGCCCTTGAAGAAAACTAACCGTTCTTCAACATTAAGCCCAAAAAGCCCTTGAAGATCCGCTCATCCATCAAATCCTTCTTCAAGATCAAGCCCAAAAGCCCCCTTGAAAAAAACCAACTGTTCATTCAAGATCAAGCCTCGACGGCCCTTGAAGAAAACTAACCGTTCTTCAAGATCAAGCCCAAAAGCCCTTGAAGATCCGCTCATCCATCAACCTTCAAGATCAAGCCCAAAAGCCCTTGAAGAAATCCACACAACCATTATTCAAGATCAAGCCCCGACGGCCCTTGAAGAAAGTGTTCATCCGTTCATCAACTGTTCATCCTTAGATCAAGCCCCGACGGCCCTTTGGATCAACAACTCATCCACAAACCTACACCCTACGAAGATAGAATCAGAGGACCAAATTTGAGAGAGATCGTAACCCCAAAATCATTAAACACAAAAATATT